AGAGGGACACAGGAAAGAAAGAATGAGGGAGAGAAGGAGACAGGGCGTGGAGGAGACAGCAGAGAGAGCGAAGTGGTGCCTGTGTGGCGTGAGAAAGCCCTGTGTTCTCTGCCTGCTGATAGGCCCGTGAAGCTGAGGAGGCTCAGGGCCACAGACCAGAGGGATTTACAGGGCTTTGCTCCTTCCTCTGTGGAAGCAGTGTGTCAACCACTGCCGCGACAGACTCTCCCTGCATGGTGCCCCCTGCAAGAAAAGCTACAAAACTGATTAAAAGCTACCAGAAGACCCCCTCCCTACCACACATTTACTTTTTAAGTCTGTTTCTACAGCGAATGGATCAAAGCTTAACAAAAGAAACTTCCATATTCCTCCTTAGCCTGAAAGCTAATCAGATCTTTTCTCCTTAACAAAAGCTTTTACTGTAGGATCCTCCCTTCTCCCCATTGCTCCATCCCATCCCACTACCTCAGCAGCCGGCTGTTCCCTGTCGTCTTGGAGATGCTGCTGAGGCATAACTGTCAGATGGGCCGGACAAAGGACCAGGCTGGCGGGATTCCAGAGGGGGTTTTGAGGCAGGAGATGGGCAGATAACCTCGTTGTGTGGCCCACGGTGCCTCAGGCAGCTGCACTGAGATGATAACTCAATCTTCCCATCAGACCTCCCTACCAGCTCGGGCCCCAGGCCATGGCATCCACTGGCATGGACCACAGTGTGGGCCAAGGGTCAGGATGTGTGTTGGGGGGCTACTTTCACCACAGTATCGTGCCATTACATCAGACAAAGTCTTTGAAAGAGTTTCCAGTGTGTTAGTGCAAATTGTCCTGTTCAAAGCAAAGACATGAAATCAAATCACATGTCTACCGGAAGATTTAAATGAAATTACATGTCTGTGTTTGAGAAACAACATTTAGGTATTGTTACATTAAATACTTTCAGCCTTTTGAGCCAAAGGTCCCTAAAATTCATTATGAAACTGCATTCCAAAGAATATCCCCTCAGAATTACTTTCAAGAATCAACGCGGTAAACTAATAAATGTGTCCATGGGTACATGTGAGTAATACTTGGACTTAAATGACAGTTTGACAGATCAAGTAAAGGGGGGGGGGTTTGTCATTTGCAAGTGTTAACTACTTTGAGCAGCTCATTTACTCACCCTGAATGAAAGTGGAAAGCACTTTGTGGTGAAAGAAAGGCAGTGTATTTCCATGATTGAGATGCATTTCACCCCCTGCTTGGAAGTCTTCCTGCGGACATGTTCGTGCTAAGTCAGGGGCTAAAATGTCTAACAGAGAATTAGGCGCAGACAATTGTTGCACAAGGTTTTTTGACGATGAAAGGGATTCCTCCATGGCAAGCACTTCTCATGATGGAGAAAGTGCTTACATGCTATGGCTTTCTTAAACATCTGTTCCCATTCGCTGGCTCAACCACAATGAATGTGGTTCAGGCAAGAATCATAATTGCATACAGACTTGGGAAACAGACAGGGAGTCAGTGTTTTGAACATCAACTGCTCCAACAGAGCTTTGAAATGAAATTAAAGTTGTGACACAGCACTTTTAAGTCTAGTATAAAAAAAACTGTCACTGGAATGGTTGGAAAATAAAAAAGCTATCTTTGTTCAACTTACAAACTTTAATGCCATTATACCCTCATTCTGATTTGGTGTAATCAAATATTTCATATTATAGTTGGACTATTTGAAAAACCTTTATCCTAGTATTGTTGTTAAATTACCTCCAAAACACTTTCTTAACATCTCTATACTCAAGCCAAGAAATATAGAGCTGGAAATAAGAAAAGCATAATCAAAAATAAACTTATTTTTGATAGTTGTGTCTTTTATGGATTCCAAAAAGAAAATGCTTCGGAGATCAGTGCAACGTAAAAACCCACTGGGACACAAACAGAATGCACAATCAAGAAACCCTAATCCACAATGGCTCATCAGTGTGGACTTTTGAACACCGTCTGCTCAAAATCAGCAGGAAAAGCCATGCACTGACATATTGAACAACCCACCTCGTTACTTTATCTTAGATAGACAAAAGATAATCGTTTTACAACCTCCCACAACTACCTATTGAAGCATTAAAAGCAGCAGTCCTGCATAGAGCACCATCGCTGAGACACATATACTCCTGCCCTAAGGGCATGTGTCAACCACTTCCTGAGCCTTAAGCCTGTATGTAATTGAGGTGAAATATCTGAAACCAATTGAAGCCCTGCAGTGAGGGGGAGTCAGTGCGGTCCCTGGGAGAGGATGACAGGGTCACACCTGCAGACAGGGGCCTGTACAGGCAGACGGCTGATGGCTATCTGAGAGTGTACTAGGGGCCATAAGAGGGAGGTGCACACCGGGGGTCTGAAGTCTTTGACGGCCCAACAGCTGGCAACCTGCCCAGACCCCATCTGTCATTTTACGAGTCATGCAGATCCATTTGCAAAAACGTACATCCATACACATACGTTCCCCTGACTCTGCTTCAGTATCCCTTCTATAAACAAACAGGCTATAGGATATTAACATTGACCCTAGGTGTCAACTGCCGTCTCAACCTCTGGATGTCAACGCCTCATGTGATGCAACGTTACAACCTCACTACTGTGGCAGAAGTCTGTCTTTAGCATTTCAACATAATTACAGCCCAGATGAATGGTTTGGAAACGACAGGCAATTAGACCTTCAGACAGTACGATACTGAGGAGTGCACTTTCTTCCAGCATGGGTACCAGAGAGGTGAAGATCAAAGATGCACACCAGACAGAGGTACACGTTTACAGCAGCCACCACTATGACGGCAATTCTTGATCATCGTAAAATAAAACAGGTGGTATTTACCAGAAACTAAACCAGCGCTTCAGCCAAATTAGCTACATTGTGTTTTCATCACAACACTTGAGGATGAGTGGAATAATACAGGTGCCCTATTTAAATGACATAGTGATCAATTTAGGAAACAAAATCCCACACCAAGACCGGCGCACAGCCAAGTTGCCACAGGAGGAAGAGGGGAAGAATAGAAAGATGTCGCAAAAAAAAAGAGGAAAATGTTGTTGCCTTTCGGAATCTCAGAGAGTACTGTTTGTAAAGAAGGCCTGTAGTTAGTAATTAACTTGAACTGGAGATAATGCCGTAATTATAGTAGCATGCACCACTCTTATTCCCATCAACATTAACACACACACACACTAGACTGTGGTCAGGGGGCATGTTGGAACAAAAGTGAGCTGGGAATCTTCTGGTTTTCTCAGACTATCACTATGATTGGAAGAGAAAGTTTGAATGCTTTTGTAAACTGTGTCTGATAAAAAAATACACACAACACAAAAGTTCCCCAGTTTATCCAGATGTCAGTCCTCTCGGATGAACCAATGTTAGACCTTTACTTATATCTACCATTTCCATAACAGCTCATTTGAGGGCAGTCCGATTGCCTCTTATGGTGCTCCCTCGTTTGGAAAACTGGACAAATGATCTGCAAACTGTTTCAACCCGCAAATGGAAAAAACAGGATAAAAAGTAAAACATTCTTGCATTCCTCTGAGTCAGAGCAGTATTTTAAATAACAAGGAGACATACTCCTGCAAACTCTCCCATTTCCATCGGTGCAGGCTCGCTCTGTAGCTTTATCTGCAGCAGTCCTTTCCAAACATGGCTCACATTTAATGGATGGATCAAATAAACAAGAGGATAATATACAGTATGGATAGCTATCGTTGAGAAACTAAGAGGAGCATTTGGACTGTGCTTGTTACACTGCAAACACGAAAGTGCATTCATTGAAGTAAGAGATATTTAATATGACTGCTACGGAAACTCACATAAATAGTGCCTTAGCTAAAGGTAAAGTGACAGGCAGGGTAGAGCCAATGAGAAGCGGGTAATTGACCAGAACCTATCTTGATGTTCTGGTGAAACATCGCTCTCCATCTCTCCATGCAGAAGATGAATCACATCATTGTCTGTGTCACTAAATCACACAAGTACTATGGGAAATTCACTCAGTTCAATTGCTTAGTAGAAGAAAGGGCAGAAATGAAATAGCCACAGCTTGCTTGATTGAATTATGTGGGTCACAATCATGTTCTGTGTTGTTCACTACAATAATTTCCCAAACATTTGATAGCAATTTATTTGATAGCTGTTGTTAGCAGTACATTCTTATCTGTGTAAATCAATATAGAAGTGACAGATGGTAGATAACTTTTCGGTTCAGCTTCATCTTTGTATTGTATTGTGTGAAGCTCTGAATCAGAAAATGATAGATCAAGCCACCCTTAGCCATTTAATAAATCCCTAATCCTTTGTGTTAATACGTATTTGCTTTTTCACCCAGAATAACAAGTCCCTTAATGCTGGGTGTCAGCTGCTTGTCTCTGCATGCCAGATTGTTATGAGAACCCTGACAGATGCAAGGTGTGGCAGATGCAGACAGTAAAATCACCATTAGCGCCTACGTACATTAAATCAGAGAGAAGGCTTTTACCGGGGAGAGTTTATGGATGGATTTGCAGGATGGGGAGTATGACAGATGTGAGGCGCTGGGACACTTAGGGTCTCCACAGATCCCATAAGAGTCCAGACAAGAGCAGACACATCCATGAACATTCAGACTAAACACGGCCGCATAATTAGAGCTATAATTCAGCAGAGCAGCCAGAGCACACACTGCAAGTCTGTGTCCCTGCTACAGCTAAGCCCACCCTCTTATTCAGGCCCAAATTAAACTGTCTGAACATTGTGCTGTTGTCTCTTGAAGGCCATTTAGAGGTAATGAATTTGATGTTATATAACTTCATGTGCGGCAACAACGTTTTGGTGATAATGAAAATGTTTTAAAATTGGTAAATTGCTATTTGGCTATCATGAAAAGAAGGCTAAGTAAAACTAGTCCCCAGTGCCCTGAACCAAGGTCAAGCAGAGAACAGGAGAGCTGAGGACACAAGTCTGCTGAGGGACAGTTTTAGAAGTACTCTCAAGTAGGAATACTTACAGATATCTGGGGATTCGTCTGAGCCATCTGGACAGTCTTTCTCCCCATCGCAGCGCCAGCCTTTGGAGATACAGGTCACCTGGTCTTTACATACAAACTGCTTAGGGCTGCAGGTCTTCGGCGGGTCATCAACTTTGGGGGCTGAAAAAAAGGAGTTGAAAGTTAATTTATAGCCACAAAAAGTCAACTGTGTCTTGAAAGGCTTTGTAATACAAAGTCAATTTAGAGAGAAATCCGATTTCAGGCATTTTTCAACTGTTTAATAGGACATTTCCAGCTTCAAGCAGCATAGATCTTAGCTGAGCCAGGCAAAGTAACATGCAAGGGTCAGCCCAAGTTTACAACGATGTTTTTGTATCAACAGTCCCACAGGCACACTCTATTCAGGAAAAAAAAATCTCCTCTACAAGTTTACAGCTAACAGTGGGGCCTTTTAGTTCTTGGGTTTGTTTGTTGTTTCCTCTCTTCTTACGAACATCTCATTTCTTTCCGCTTTTTTTTATTTTTATTACTCCTAAGGTGTTTTTCAACTTTTACCACAGAGGCTCTTTCATGTGTCACAGCAGAGACATAACTGGGCATTCAATCAGCGCCTGACCCATGGGAAAGAGCACAGCGTGGTAGTCCTGGGCAGTAAGTCAGCACAGATTGTTGAGGTGTACCACAGGCTAACAGCACCACAGCAACGCTCCAGACCCATCAGCAGTCTGACACATGCTTTAACTCAGCCGCACTCACAAAAACACTCGTCCAATGGAGCTCTACCTCCATGGTGTTGATTCAGTCTGTCAACACTGAATTAATAACTTATTTAAATATGCAACTTAGAAATGCCCCCAAAACACATTTTTCTCGATCTTGTTGTGTCTGGCCCAGGATATTATTTTTATTTTCCCAGGTTTAGACAGCTGTCTCTGAGATTTATGGCTCAACCCCTAATACAATTTAGGTGAATCGAATTCTAATTTTCTCACGACAAATTTAAATCTTCAAAATGGTTGTCCCGGTCACTCTTAGCAATCTGAAGAACTAATCATATTTTATTATTTACCTTTATTTCTGTAAGAAATAATCCGAATACAAACAAAATGGAAATAGTTAGTTGAGATGTCATGGTAAAATGTATGCAAGTCTAAGGAAGAATGGAAATAGATTGCCATATATACACACAAGTGAAATTCTTCCCGTTATGCAAGCGGTTAAAACTAACCATAAAAAAATTGACCACAAAGGCCATTTGAGGCAGGAGGTTGCTGCTACTGTACTGTAGTGCAGTAATGCTCTGGGAGAGACAGATCCAAGGTCTCATTGTGATTCTCTGCAGGGACTGAGCCCTCCCTCGCCCTGGATGACTTGCCTCCCTACATACTTGGCAGTCAGAGAGGTGTGGGGTGAGTGGTGGGGTTGGGGTGCACCACAAGGGTGCTGGGATGTGACTAAAATCACAAGAGAGCATGAGGCTAGTGTATCATTGCAATCACGTTCCTTTGGACTGTCAGACTAAGGCGTTTAGACCCTGGTCTCTTTTCACTTGACAGCGCAGTGAATGTGTAAGCACTAAACCCTGAGTCTTCTGAGTGTCATGTTTTTGTAAATACAATACAGGAGCTTAAGGGTTGTATGGATCAGATCACAGCTTTCCATATGTCAACAAAACCCTGTTATTTGAGGAGATTTAGAAAAAGAGAGAGCGCCGGCTTTTAAAATGCATAGCGTTCGCTCCGTTCTTCTATTCTCACAATGGCAGAAGCAAGGCTTACAGGAGAATAAGGTTTAAACTCAGCCATGGGAGGCTATAATACAGATTCTGTATCAAATATCATAAGAATGTGAAAGGTTATAATATTAAAGATCACAGTGAGACAGAGCTGTAAAATAATGGACTGGTGACGGACAAAGTTCAGACGACATGCACACACCCGACCCATCAGGGAAGGAATGAGATAGAGGCTAGCCATGGCCTGAGGCCAACATGTTAATGTAGCTTCCTTTCAGATTACCAATTTCCTGTCACACTCCATATGGCGGTAGTTGCACTGAAGTTGCCTGCGCTTATATGTTGCCATTTAATCAGACTAAACAACTACTAAACAAACGGCCACACTGACTGAGCCGTGAGCCTCAATGAGTAAAATTGAAACCTCCGGCAGACTGCTATGTGAAGAAATTCTCTACATCCCTCTGGTCCCCCGCCCGAAGCAGCTGGGCTGAGCTTGTTGTTCCCTATGAGTGCATAAAACTGGAAATAAAACATTGTGGGTTCTAATTTTATCATCCCTTTACACACCAGCATGAACAGACCGCAAAGGGGAGAACCTCCGAGCCTAATTGAAGGTTGTGGCAGGGGAGGGGTTAGAGGCTGGGGGAAAGACTGGCAGCCTTCCCCCTCAGCAGTCCTCTTTCAAAGCCCACTGAAATATCTCAAACAGAGATGTGAATTGTTAATTCAGTATGCAAAGTGGTGTTTTTTTCCAAAGTTCCTGCCAAATGCTAACAATTTTCGGAGGGTCCGAATCAGGCTGGGAAGTAAAGCATTTCAGTCAGGTTTTACCTACAAAGGGGAATGAAGAAGGTCTTTATTTAGTAGACTTGGATAGGCCCAACAGCAAACACCAAACCCATTGAATCAAGGTGCATACTCCACTTACTGCTATAAGCCCAGAGTGTTCGCCTCCAAGAGTCTCCTCCTGATAATGCCATTCCAACTAAAGCATTTCCCTGCCACAGCTGAATGCAACTTGATCACCCTGCTGTGACTAATATGGTAGGAAATCTCACAGTGTTCAACTCTTCTATCCATAAACAGCAGAAATGTTTATCACATGTTCAAAACAATAAGTAATAATATCACATTATGTTGCTTATGGTCAACTTAGATATCTTATACACACTTTAACATAAGGTTTCTAACTCTGGGTTTCTGATAGGGCATAACATTAATTAAATTAGAGAAGAAATGAGAAAACTGACTTTTGCAGGCTTAGTTAAAACCTTCAAGAGTTTTGAATTTCACATCATTACTCTAAATAAGTCCTACATAAAATGTACCAAAATACTTTATTCGGCTGGTTCAAAAACATGAAGCAGCTGTCTTCAACAAAAAAACAAAATGCTCGACTCTTTCACTGTAATGTAGTTTCAATACATTGCATGCTAAGTGTTAAAGTAAATCATTTTAAAGGAGAGTGATACGGCAATGGAATTACAATATAAAAGCAGAGACAGTCCTTTTGGCAAATGTAAACCCAAGAATGCCTGAACGCTATACTAGAAGTAAAGCAGAAAAAAAAATGTTAGTCACGGGATTAGGGTTTCTACTAAACATCCGGTTCTCTACACCCAAATACAACATGTGTTCAAGTTTTTACACTGGTTTTACAAACGTTTTCAGACTCTTATTTGGAGAAACATAAGGGGTGTCCCAGAATTAGGTGGTAAAACCAATGAACATGTTGTAAGTGTTCAGGAGTTCGAAAAAAGCACTATGCATGTTGGTGTAAGAGAAAGTAAAACGACTTAAAGTCATACTGTCACTGAAATACTAACAGGACACATGCTTTAATACTGAGCTTTAAATCCTATAGAGTTGCTTCCTAGTATGTGGATTCCCAGTTTCCAGTTGGCTGACTTGGTTTTGATTTTCAGCATACTGCCAGTTGAATGGAGCACACACTGTATTTCCTTATGCAGGGCCACTGGAGCTCTGCGCTGTCTAAACAGTGCACACTGAATTGCCCTTCAGCACTGTGCATGGCAAAAAACATTAGACAAGAGTGAATGAGCAAATGCATAAGCGTACACAGAGCCCGGCTCTTATAGAAACTTCCAGCCTGAATGGCTAGTAAAAAGAAAAATAACTTTAATGGCTTTTTTAATGGCAAGAACAATTCAAAGTGTTGTCTTGCTTTTGAAATCCAAAAAAACATTTAAAAATCTTAAATGCTGAACTCTGTGGGATGGAACATGATGGGAAGGGTGAGTAAATCACCAATTCAATGCCAAGTGATGGAGGCCTCCAGACACCGTCACCAGCTGGGACACAACACTGACCCACTTCCCCCCCCCCCCCCCCCCTGCTCCGCTCCGTCTCTCTCAATATGGCCATCCCTGCTCTACAAATCAACTCCAGATCCATGCAGCACATTCCATCACCTTCTAATTGATTTCATGTGTGTAGCTTTTCCTGAAAAAGACAATCTGTTACAGACGAGCCGCAGGATTTAAAGCTCTTGCTGCTCGACAAAACAGCTTGTGAATTCAGGGGAAAGTTTACTTTTTGCTCGTTTCTCTTTGCTGCGAGACCACTTTTTTGAGCACATCCTAGTAAGCAACCAACCCAATCCCCTTTGGATTATTTCTTGGATGAGCAGAAGTGGATGGATTTTGTTAAATGTTATTAAAAGCTAACAGTGCTAATGGGAATATTTCATGACTCAAATGGATGAGTAAATACATGGCACTCTGGGCTCAGTGAAGCAATAGGAGAATGTTAAAATAAACCCAGGACTGTTTCTCATCATCCCACGCTTCTACCCCTCCTGGCCCTCTATTGTAGAACTCAGCTCTTCCTGAGTGTTTCAGGGAGTGAAAAGAGGAACGAACTAAAGTATGTAATTAGACCCCTGAAGTTAGGTTTGAAGTTATTACTCTGCGCTCAGTTTAACAGGATTTCAAAGCAGGAATCAATGCATTATGTATAACAATTAAAACCAAACAATGACCACAGGGAAGAGAATGAGGGTACAGGAATGTCATCATTTTATATTCTGTGGTCTATTAATTATTCACAGACTATTTTTTTGCCCGAACTTAGATATTTCACGGTTAGAAAAGTGTGATAAAAATAATGTAAAGTCCGTCCATTGCCACTGTCCTGGCCATTGGATGTTTTTTTTCAATTTCCACATTGTGCATTGCCCATCCAGTGGAAAGAACCACTTAGCTTTGTGACACACCAAACCCATGACAAGCACTGGAGCACTTTAACCAGCCCACAATGCACATCCAATGTCCATGGGCTATTTAAGAACTAATCCACCATAACTATTTTCAAAGAGGTTGAATATGCATAAAAAGGAGAAGTCTAAGTTTGAGTGAATACTTTCTCTTGTGCCTAAAAGCCTTGTTTTTTTGTCATCACA